CAATGAAAACTCATGAGCGTCGCGAGGAAGATCCTCCTCGATGCAAGAACTTCAATGGAAACTCATGAATACCGCGGTGAAGATCTCCTCAATGCAAGAACTTCAATGGAAACTCGTGAATATCGTGAGGAAGATCCTCCTCGACACGAGAACTTCATCAAAAAATTCATAACTCTACCGGTAAGAGTCATATTCACCGCCTTAGCAGCAGCGCTGAAGCAAATTTCCATTCAAAACCTAGCCCTTCTAAGAACAATACTCTTCTATCGCCGGTGTTTGGAAGTGGTCAAACCACCACCAAACACTAACACCTGTCGGAACCCAACATGCAAACCTAAATTCTAAACTAGCAGACGAATTGAAGATTAGACAAAGGATGCTTAGTTGATTGGAAAGTAGGGGAAGATACAAAGAAAGTTGGCGGTGACGGTGGTGGCGACAACGACAATGGAGAGAACACTCTGAAGGTAGAAAGAAAGTTGAAAGGAAAGTGCGAGAGAAATGAACAAATTAGCCTCACTTCTCCATATTTATAGTCCTTAACATATATTAGTGTGTCGTCATCTAGGCTCTCGAGTACCCCTACTCGTAGGTCATCATAGGCATTTAATGTTTCTGACACGTGGCTTGAAGAGACGTAACATTGTCCTTTCAAGTCCCATCACATAGCTCGAGGAGACAACGCTTCTGCCTCTTCAACTCTCATCACGTGGCTCGGGGAGACAACATGTTTGTCTCTTCAAGTCCCCTAAATCTACCGGACTCCAAGGTGCCGAGAGCGCGTTCATGAGCATAGCCTCGACAAATTTTTGCAACATTCGCGAGCACAACCTTGGCGATATTTTGGAGCAAACTCACAAGTAGCTTGGCATCTCCCGAGCATAAACTAACACTCAATGCGAGGACAGGTCAGGTCCTCGACCTCATACCCTGCACGACACTTCCTCCATGGAAGCAAAGGTCAACGAGACAAAGTCATTGACCCTATGCCTAGGGGCAACGACTTGTGAGGCTCCTGTTCTGGACTGCGCCTGTGACTGACTCAACGTCGGGCACGACCCAATCCAGTGATATGTCGAGGACGTCCCAGAAGGCTGGCCTAACTCGTTAGGGACCAATAGAAGGCATTTCCCCACGTGCACCTCACCCGATGACACGTCATTAATTCGCTCTGCACATCTTGTGAAACCATTATGCCATATGTAACAGGCAACTCCACCCATTATCCCACTATCTGGGGAATGTAGAGCAATTGACCCAGGATTATGATCACGAGCTGCTCATCCTTACCCCCACGTAGGAATTCTGACAATCATTCATTATGTGTCCGGTCACCCAGCCCATAATGGAGATCGAGTATTCAATTCTATTCCTTACTTTACTTGCTATCACTTCGCATAAACTTACTTGAATGTCGGAGTGTCTGCAGGTACCCCCCGTTTTCATCCACTATTGTTGATCGTTGTTGTTGTAGAGGTGTTACATGCCACGTTCTGATCTGCCAAGTTAGATCAATATGTATTGCTAATAAAAATACTTTTAAAATTGAAAAAACATTTACTATTAATACAAATATTTTTATAAACGAAACAAATTTATATTTTTGATAAAAAAATATTAAATTTCTATATATAATTTTTTAATACAATTCATATTGAAAAAAAAGAAAATACAATGATGGTGTATAAAAATTGTCAACCAATCACAATCATATATTAAAATAAAATATATTTTTATTTTAAAATATTAATATTATATGATAATTATAAATATTTTAATTAATTACATGTGTAAAATTATCTTGCACCGACAATAAATTACATTTTAATCCATTCAAAAACAAAGCGCGCCTTAAATCAAAATACACTATTACACACAAATTTTTTATTAGTTAAATTAAATATTTATAACAAATGTTAGCATTCAAAAATAATTATATATTTATGTATAGATATAACCTTTTCAATTTATATATAAAGTTGTCCTTATGTGAAAAAGAGTTTCTTCCATAAAGAGATGGTATTTTTTCATAAAGTTGTCCTTGATTTTTCTTTGGTAGAATAAAGTTGTCATTGGTAAGAAAAGTCGGATGCGATTGCGTGGTGAATCCAACCAGAATCTTCCGGATGTACCATTGTCCTATCATCAGTGCTTCACAATGACACCATATATACTTTTACAGCAGATATATACTATCTTTATAATCCTTTTTCTTCCAATAATGTTAATGGAGTATATATTAATAATGTTAAAAAATTCATAAAGAATTACTTAATTTTCACAAAAAATCATTTTTTATTTTTTCCTGCAAAAAAACATATTTTCTGTATTTTTTTTAAAAACATATACTTTTTTATTTTTAACAAAATAATATCTACTATCAACTCATTAAAAATCAATTACATTAACTTTTAAATTCTCCTTTCACTATAAAATATTTACACTAAAAAAATAAATTTAAGTAATTATGTAATGTATACATTTTTCATTCTTATTCTATTATATTGTGACACATGGATAGTTTCAATCAACTTTTAATTTTTTCACTTTTTCTTTTAAATTTTAAATTTTTTTAATTGTTATTCTTTCATTTTAAAATTTTCTCTTTTCATCTTCTCTTTCTCTTTTTATTTTTTTTTGAGTATAAATTAAAAAAAAATAATAATCATTTTTAATGAAACAAACAGAAATACACAAAAATATTTAATTTTTAAAAAACAAAATTTAGCCTGCATAAAAAAATACTTATTTTATGGTTATTAAATAATTAATGATAGTTTTTATAAACAATTCATAAATATAAAATTAACAAATTATTTTGTAAAATTGTTCAAACAATTAACAATTTATTATCAACATAATATTTATTTTATTTTTAATTAATTATTGTCTTTATTAAAGAGATAAAAAAAATTATTTTTAAATATCAATTCTTTTTAATTTTTTTATCACACGAATTCTTTTTATTTCTTCTTCCGCGTGGTTATTTAATATTAATAAATTTATATAATAGTTGTTCATTTTATAATTAAGTAATTTATTTCAAATTTACATGCATATATAAATATATTTTATACCTTATCAAATTGAATAATACTCTATAAAGTGTAAATAACTAACTTTTTATTTTATGTTATTTTATTTTAATCAGCAAATTATCTTTATTTGAGAGATAAAACTAAATGTCAAACAAACAAAAAATTCTTTCTCCATTTTTCATTTTTATTTTTGTATCTATATTTAATACATTTAAATTTATATGATTATTTTTATTATACAATTATATAACTCATTTCAAATTTACTTGTATAACTAAATACATTTTATATCATACAAATTGAATAATATTTCGTAGGGGTGTAGAATACTCCATCTCACGTGTCATTGTTAATACAATAACTATTTTAATTTTAATTAACATTAATTAAATCTGTAGAATCATTGTTCATTTTAAAATTAAATAATTTATTTTTAATCACTACCTATTTTATATTGTATCTATATACATTTTTAAAAATAATATTTAGGAAAGTATCTTTTTTATTAGAAAAAATAAATTATAAAAAAATATATTTTTATTTTTGGAAAAATAATTGTTTTCCAAAAATAAATAAAAAATCATATAACTTTTTTTTGGAAAAAAAAGTTTCTAGAAAGAAAAAGATTTATAAAATGTTTTTTTAGAAAATAAATTTAAAAAATGAAGTTTTTTTTTTATTTTCAAAAAATAGACTAATTTAATTTTTAATTTTATATATAGATGTTCAAAATACAAAATTAGTTAAAATTATATTAATAATATATTCAAAATATATAAATTTAGTTATTAAAATCCTATTAATAATATGTTTAAAATATAGGTTGGTTAACATAATAATAGTTAACTAGATATAAATATTCTAAGTAACTAAGATGAGTTAGTTTTCCCCTTTTTATCTATTATTTAAATGAAATAAATATGATGAAATGGGTTTGAAGCTATTATTAACTAAGTTAATTTAACATGACTTTTATGTTTTGATATTGTAAAACGAATGAATAAAATGGAATAAGTATGTCATTCCTTCGTTTAAATATTTTATGAAAAAATATACTCCTCCGTCTTATAATTGGTACTATTTTAATTTTTTTATATTTTAAAAATAATAATTAATTGTGTTGATTTTAATAATAAGATAAATTTTACTTATTAAAATAATTTTATTAATAATAAACAGTAGAATAATTAAATAATTTAAAATATAATAAATAAGTAAAAATTAGTAAAAAAATCATATTAATATTTTAAAGAGATAAATAATTTGAAACAAATAAAAATAAAAAAAATAAAATACAGTAGTAATTTTGACATTTTACCCCAAATAAAAATACAAAAAAATATTCAATGCATTTGATCAGATTCAGATTCCATTTGGAACTTTTTTCAGTAAAGAAATAATAAAAGCATTATAAGATAGGAATGTCGGGCATTAGCGAAATAAATAGTTTATAATTCCGCAACTTCACTCTCTCCATCTCTCACAGTAACGTGTTTTCTGTGTTCTCTTTGCTAACTTTCACAGGTATCTTTATCCCTTAACTTTTACCATTTTCTCAATATTATACATGAATCTATCACCTTAAGTGTTCAAGTTTGTATAGGTGTTTCAAGTTTTTTTTTATTGTTATAGTAATTTTTTGATATAGCATTTTCATTTTGATGGCTTATAAAATGAAATCAATGTTTCTGATTTGTATTTTGCTGTTTTATTTTCTGATTAAATGAAAGGAAACAGTGCTTATAATGAATGGGTTTCACTGTTTGTTTGATGGTCTAAACCCATTTTTTCTTTACTAGTGTCCTGTGCGGGGTCGGGTTGTAGCTCGCAGGGCTGTACCCTGTGACCGGCCCGGGTGACATCACGTGCCTGCGCTAATGCCTCCTTTTGTTGGTGATGAGTAGAATTGGTAGAATTTCTTTAGGCTCTATGTATTTATTGTTGTATTCTTTTGTTACAGAAATGTCGACGATTGCGCGCAGAGGTATCCATTTCATGCAGAGACTGAATTCCGCGAATGTATCTGCTGCTTTGCTAGAGAAGGGGCAAAATCGTGTAATCGATGCTTCACTTACTCTTATTAGAGAAAGAGCAAAGCTTAAGGCAAGTCATGATTTTGGTTTTGTTTTTCTGTTGTTGTATCTATGAATCCTTAATTTTGTATTTCATTTGGATGATTTCGATTACAAGCTTTGTATGAAAACAATATGAATGTAGAAATTTGTTCTATGCAGGGAGAACTTGTGCGTGCTTTGGGAGGTGCTGTTGCAACTTCATCGCTTCTTGGAGTTCCTTTGGGACACAATTCATCATTCCTTCAAGGGCCTGCATTTGCGCCACCTCGCATTAGGGAGGCCATTTGGTGTGGTAGCACAAACTCGTCAACCGAAGAAGGTATTGTCATATGATTTTCCTTAGGATCATAGAAGTTTTAAATACGACTTTTTGTGTAGCCGACTCTAAATTATACTTTGTGAACACATCTGCAAAATGTAGTTTGTTCTTTCCATGAAGTCTAGGGGTAGTAGAAAGAATCAATAATACAGTTGTAGGCATTGTTATCTTATCGGGAAACAATATCAATTTGTTCGAACACCACTACCATGTAGTCTCTATTTAACAGCACGATTCAGTTAGTCATTGTCTATGAAGCTAAAGTGGTCATAGAAGCAACTTATTTAACAGGATATAGCTTAGTTGCAATCTCAATTTTCAGTGCCGACATGCTTCTTGTATCAGCACTGTATAAGCTTGTAGTAACGATAGTATTTTGATTTTGCAGGTAAGGATTTAAAAGACGCACGAGTGCTAACTGATGTCGGTGATGTCCCTATTCAAGAAATTCGAGATTGTAGCGTAGATGATGAAAGATTGATGAATGTCATTAGTGAATCTGTCAAGTTAGTGATGGAAGAGGTAAATTTGCCAATTTATGATTTGGAATTAAAAAATTACACCTTCATAATAATCCTCAATATATTGTTTCTTAGCATTCACTCCACTATCCCGTAAATACTATAATGTTTTGCCGATAACTTTCTGTTCGAACTTTCTTGATCCTTGTGTTATTTATATTCTTTCAGGCTCCACTAAGACCCTTAGTTTTAGGTGGTGATCACTCAATATCATTTCCAGTTATTAGAGCTGTCTCGGAGAAGCTTGGAGGACCAGTTGATGTTCTTCATATTGATGCGCATCCCGACAACTATGACGCATTTGAAGGGAACATTTATTCCCATGCTTCTCCCTTTGCTCGTGTCATGGAGGGTGACTATGTTCGGCGACTCTTGCAGGTAATCTTTTATTCTTGATATGTATATGTTTTGTTTATATCATAAACTGTTTAGTGTATGTTTGGATTGCGGCGAGTTTGGCAAAATCAAGAAGGCACTGTGATTTTGTTGAAACTAATCTTTTATTCTTGATATGTATATGTTTTGTTTATATCATAAACTGTTTAGTGTATGTTTGGATTGCGGTGAGTTTGGCAAAATCAAGAAGGCTGATTTTGTTGAAACTAGAATGTGTAGCTTTTGCCAAAATAACGCTATTTAATATTATTTCAGGTTGGTCTTCGAACAATAACACCTGAAGGACGTGCACAAGCAAAAAAATTTGGGGTCGAGCAATATGAAATGCGAACATTTTCCAGAGATCGCCCCTTCCTAGAGAGCCTGGTATGTCTCTGTTTCTGTGTTTGTGTGCGTCTGTGTTTACATGCGTGTGCACAAGTGAGCACATAGTAAGTTCCAAACATGTATAGAGATACCAACTTGGTGATTTCCTTGTGCAGAAACTAGGGGAAGGTGTGAAAGGGGTGTATATCTCAATAGACGTGGATTGTCTCGATCCTGCATTTGCTCCAGGAGTGTCTCATATTGAACCGGGAGGTCTTTCTTTCCGCGATGTTCTTAACATCCTACACAATCTTCAAGGTGATGTTGTTGCTGGAGATGTCGTTGAATTCAACCCACAACGCGATACCGTTGACGGAATGACTGCTATGGTAGCTGCTAAGTTGGTCAGAGAATTGGCTGCAAAGATTGCAAAATGATAAAAGATAGCATTTTAGAGTAACAATAAATTTCTACTAGGTTGATGTATTCTTATAAGAGCTTATACATTATTGAACCAGATTTATATTTCAAATAAATTGCATTACAAAACTCTGCGTCGAAGTTTAATTTGTTTTATCGTGATTTATTCGACTTTTCTGACAAACTATCGAATCAAATGACTTCTTCCTCTTTCTTTGCCTCTTCTCTTTTTTCCATTTCTACTAACTTATATCTTGTTGCACACGCAACATAAAATACCAAATTGGTTCCTGTTAAAATTGCAGACAAGAAGAAAAACCAATCTAAATGTCCTTCATTTAGATTAGGCGAAACCCAACCGTGTCGTCCGTGAGTCGAAGTGATTTTCATCACGACGGACAAAATAGCGTCGGCGACATAACTACCAACTGCCGACGTAGACATGGACAATCCCATTCCCAAGCTTTTCAATCCATCTGGTGCTTGAGATGTAAAAAAATTCATCTGTGCTACATAAATAAATGCTTCTGCTACTCCTACAAGTACATATTGTGGTATTTGCCAAAAGATGCTCAAAGAACTCGTCTCTTTACCGTCTGTGCTAGCGAACTCGAGTCTTTTCCTCTCTACCATACCGGCGACAATCAAGGCTAGTATTGTAATGGATAGTCCAATGCCGATTCTTTGTAGTTCGCTAGGGAGTTTTGGCTCTTTTTTGACGATCTTCACGTATAATGGAACAATGAGAATGTCGAATAACATGATGAATAATGATGTGCTTATGATATCGAATGCTGTCATGCTAGCCGGAGGGATTTCAAACTTGTAAAACTTTCTGTTCATTGTTGAACCTTGCTCGACGAATAGAGAAAGCATTTGTATGAAGACGACGGACGAGAAGATCGTGCAAAGCCATACTGGCAATAGTCTCAAAATGCATTTTACTTCTTCGACTTGTGTCACGGTGCAAAGACTCCATGGATTCGGATTTTCGCTTTTCTCTAGCAACTTTTGCTCTTCCCTGATAGAAATAATCGCAGCTCTATCAAAAAACCTGTTTTTCACCAAGATAAAATGAATTCAGTTTTTTTCCTGCTAAGCTATACTCAAAGTTTTCTCAAAAAACTTATAATAATAAGTTGAAAATTTCTTATCAATAATATCATAAGATATTTTCGTAAGTTCTTCCGAACAGTCTCAGAAGTACTTATATCAGTAGATAAATTCAAATAAGTTAATCCAAACAGACATACCTGAGACCCTTAGTGTGATACATTTTCCTATCATCCCCTTCTCGAACATCATAGAGTCCTTCTCCATTTGCAGGTACTTGAAGTTTTATTTTCTTCACAGAAGACACAAACACTTGCGCAAACCTCACGATAGGATTTCGAGTCGTCTTCATGTGCCGGTATCTAAGAGATCCGGCCATAAAAACCAGAAACGAAAAACCGCCGCAACAAAAACATATCCAAAACCCAAGCACCCAATTTCCTGAAGTCTCTATGTAAGCCAAAACTGTCTCAGCTGCTAATGATCCTAGATTCAGTGCCACATAAAAGTAGCTGAAAAATAAGGACTTGGACTTTTCTTCTTTAGGTTCTTCTTCATCAAATTGATCAGAACCAAATGTTGCTAATGCAGGATCAGCAGCTCCATTTCCTAGTGCTACTAGATATATTGATATGTAAAGTATTGTAACATGAAGTGGTGAATGAGGTTCACATAGAAAACCTATTTTCCCACAACCTTGAGGCTTAAGTAACAAGAAATGAGTTGATAAGGATAACAGCACCAATCCCTACATTAAAAAAAAAAAAGTAAAATAGAACTTTAGATTGATATCCAGGTTTGAGACCAATTCCACCATCTGATAGTACGAGTCCATTTAAAGTCAGATCAAAACTCTGTATAAACTGATCTAACATAAGAATTGTTAGCATCTACCAAAATTCGAACCAGAGACCTTGAGAGGAGCAGACTCTTAGAAACTGAAGACTTTGACATGAAAAAAATAAATAAAGTTGCATGTGAATTTGAATACTTACAATGTTGAGTACAAGTTGAAATATGATGCAGGTGAGGTATCTTCCCAAGTATGAGTCACTAAGAAAAGCTCCAACTAGAGAGAAGAAATAGGTAGTTCCCATCCATGTGCTGAAAGTGTTTGCTGACTCTGCATTACTTTGTCTCAGTACCAACTTTGCAAAGAGAACCAAATTCACTTCAACTCCAGTGAAAGCCAATGTAACTAGAAACTGATTCACTGTTTCAGTTATACAATTCATTAAACTTGTGTCCAAAAAATAAGTCTCTAATCATAATCTAAGAAAGATAGTATCCAGAGCCGTCTCAAGTTTTTTTTAGACCCTATATAGTTTGTCTCAGTTTCACAAAAACAAATATTTTACTAGATCTTATTTAACTACGGTTTAATTGTAATAAATTTTAGATCTTGTACAGTAGTCTATTTTACACGCTCAGAAAACGGCGCGCACGTAACATAAATATGAATATCATTGAAGATGTGTGTGGATACCTAACAACCATGAGGCACTTCTCCATCCACCTGTCTTAGATTTTATAGCTGATTTTCCATAACAATCAACTGATCCATCTTTTGTGCAAAGATTAGTATTCTCCTCTTCATGGCTATCAATTTCAAACACCTATTCAAATCAAAAACCAATTAATAAAATGAATGAAAACAACAAACAAGTAAAAGCTTATATATATATAATCTCTTACCCTACTGGCCATCCTTGTCCCTTTTTTCCTCTAACCTCTTGAATCTCCTTAAACAAAATCACTTGAGTAAAAAAAATGCAATGTCAATAAAATAAAAATTAAATGAGTTTTGAAAATTTATTCAAAAGATGAATTTGAAAAAAAAAAATATATTTCTTTCACCTTTTAATTCAATGAGTCAAAGATATGTGTCTCCAATAGAATGTTGTGCATGAATATCCACTTTCTGTGTCTTCCAAGTGCCCTTAGAATTATAGACAGCACAGTTTTCAAACTCTGTTAACTCTATGTTACTAGCATTTATGTTCAAGTAGCTACAAACAAAGAATTGAAAAAAGAAAAAAGAAATAATACTTTATGATAAATATACTTTTTTTTATTTAAAAAAGAATGTATATTTATTAATTATAATATTTTTATTTTTATTAATATAAAAAATGAATTTTGTCAAAAAAAAAATTAAAAAGTATTATGGAATTTGAAATTTTAAATATTCATGATTAAAAGTGTAAAGTATTACTATAAATTCTGATTATTTTTTCAAAAACATTTTTGACGATTTTTTTTACTAAATAGGTAAACAAAATTATTAATAAAAAATACACTAACAATTATTTTACAACTGGTGATTAAAAAATATAAATTCAATCTATTAAAATTATAAAATTAAATTCTTACATGAACAAGAACTAAAAATTTATAAATTTACAATACAATAATATATTGTTAATATAGTCTTAAGGTTGACGTGCAGCGCAAAAAGTTGATGTGAAGAATGATGACTAATGTAAGTAGAATGAAACATAGTTAGATATATAGGATATATTTAAATTATTTTATTTGAATTTAATAGATTTGTGATGAGTTTAATATATATATATATATATATATATATATATATATATATATATATATATATATATATATATATATATATATATATATATATATATATATATATATATATATATATATATATATATATATATATATATATATATATATATATATATATATATATATATATATATATATATATAAATTTAAATGGTGGCTTCGATCTCTTTTAAGGCAACACAAGATAGACCTATATGGTTAGCATTTTAACGTCTAAGTTAGTTCAAGATTCAACATAAATAAATTGAAATTGGAGATCATAAATTATGTAACTTCTCATAGCATGTGAAATTCTTTATATGTTGGGTTGAGTAGAGTGAGCTTGAGAAAGTTTGTGCCTCGATTCATTGGATCTTTGGTCGATCCAAAACAGTTGCCTCAATGCTTTGTTGGGAATTGATGGACTCGGGGTAAGCCTTAAATGTCGTTTGACCGGCCTCTACGTCGTAGTCCGATGTGGAGTAGAACTGAATCACTTGGGATTAGTTTTTCGAGTGTGATGAGGAGCATGAGCATTTAATGTGGTTCCATCGTGGAGACACTTCATCACCCATTCTTGACATGTGCATTGACGTGATCAACTAGGGTGTGACGCAGTTCATAGAGTGCTTAAGTGCACTTGAGAGGGTGTGCATCCATAAGTGGAAATTTGATAGTTTCTCTAGTGATCCTTATTAGTAGTTGGGCTTGATCTTTCAGTTGTCACTACTTATAAATATGGCGAGTTGAATAGTTGGAAGTTTCTGCAACCTTTAAGCTTTCAAACTTTCAATTACCTTCCGAAAAACATTTATGTTCTTCTCTTTTCTAATAACATTACCAAAAGTGATTCAGAACTTTTGTTTAAAGCTTTCTTCTTTTTCATTTTTCTTGCTTCATCAACCATTTTGAACAATCACCTTTCTCACTCAATCTTTTCTGCATCATGTTTTGTTTTGCCAAAATAAGCGACAATAGTGTCGATTCAGTGAGAGACTCTGAAGTGAAAATTTCACATGGGTCATCCTTTAATTCTCATCACTCATCTTTTACCAATGATCCCATACAACCAGGTAATAACCATATCTGATGACACCGGGTCAGGAGGGGTGGTTGAGACTTCCCTGGATAGAGAAACCTTTTCTTCTAGGTCGTTATACGCCTTTATATCAAATGTTGGCGAGAAAACACATCACACCGAAGTCCCTATGCCCCTCTTGTTTTATCAGATGAGGAGATATAAATCAATTTATATAAGAGGGACTCAGCTAAGGATTTCATTAATACTTGTCTGCGAACCGTAGGTTGCAAACCTAGTGATATTAAGGTGTTAGAGCATTTAAATATTTGATGTCGATTAGGTGCGTTGATGTACGATTGGGTAAATGCAAAG